ATTCTTATCGTATAATGATCGGAAACGGAGAAGAAAAATGGACTAATCTAGAGAAATGGCTGTGAGAAGCTGGAAGGCGAGAGTCTCTCGCCTCGGGACTATATGTCTCAAGAGTACTCAAAATATCTCTTTTGTATAGAGTAAAAATAGGAAAATCAGGATCCCCTTTTATGAAATAGATAGTGTAGTATTTATAGACTTTTACCTGTTCGAGTTCGGATACTGAGTACTCGGTTCCTGACCCAATCCGGGTTTGGGTTCATGGGTTAGGATATGGACGTTGCACTTAAGTGCTTTTGCTTTGCTTCTTATAACTTTTTCAGACCACTTGCCTGAGTCTGCTATGCTGCGCTATGACACCTTGTACTATTGGCAGTGTCTGCTCTTCCGGATTAGGCACTGGAATATTCCACATGTTTAATCACCATCCGTGACATAGGCTGTCTACTTTTATCCTATCACATGTAGAGTGAAAAGGGGTTTTCACCCATTAATCGTGAGAGTAGCACTGAAATGAGTGGAAAACGTTTATTCAAACATAAACCTTAGATATTCTACTTTGCCCGATTACTTGATAAGAGAGCCCATGCGTATTAGCATCCTTCCAGGGTAGTGATACCCCGTACTTCATTTACCTACCTTCGTTCCTGCCCCCGAGTCCCTTAGCTTTTGATAACGTGGCCGTGTTATCGAGAATTTATTTGATCCAAGTTTCTTTCTTCAGCGGGATCTGGGCCTTTGTAGAGTCGGGCCCAGGCCACCTTGGGCTATTGTAGAGTCAGGTCCAAAAATATGAGGGATCCTTATAAGGAAGACAAATTCCATCCTGTAAATCGGGACTCCACATTGCCACATGGCTATGGGTGATTCGCCAACTCTGTTGAGGATTATTTTATTACCAATAAAAAAAAGTTAACTTATATATATAATACACTATACACTCCGATGTATTAATTTGAATATCCATATACGTATCTGAAATAATAAAATGATACAACTAAACTTTTAAAAATTTATATTATTAACAAAAATCTATTATTGACG